AAATTTGATGAACTGTACGTTTTAAATGATTGTAGGTTATGTAGAGATAGGTTATTCAACTTTGTCTTTTCTGTAATAAAAAGAATTATTAGTATAAAGTTTTACTATATAAATATTTCGTATTATTTATCATGTCTCCTTGGTACTAATAATGTTATGACTTGGACCCTATTATAATGTGTTCATGATATAAATTTCATATTTATATACCTACATAGGTATTTCTTTTGATATTTTGCTGTCCCTGCCAATAAATAAAATCTTTGACTTATTCCTTTTAGCCTGATTATAATGCTAGAAAGTTGTATCTGGTTATATGAATCAAATAGATACTATGATAAATTTATTTTATTTGTAGCCTTTTTATTTTTAAGTGTTTAAATATACATTTGTTTAATAATAATCATCCGCGAATGTGTTTTGTTCCAGTTCTTTAAATGTATTTACTAGGTTTTTATAGAAATACTGATTTTAAATTAATAAAAATTTGAGTTGTAAGAAATATTTAAGATTTTTCAATTCTGTATTTTATAGGAGTTAATCCCTTTAAGTAAATAAATGTAGTTCGGGGTCGAAGATGTTGGTAATTTGTGTATTGAATAATTTGTACATACACTGGTTAATAATTTAAACAAAATGTTTTTTCTGATGTACGTACCTAATAATTATTTAAGGTTATCTTGTAGTTGACGAGTCTAGAAATCCGCATATTCACACCATTAGGCATTCCAAACTGAATGGCTACCAGTGGGTTTTGACGGGTTATGATATAGCAAAATTATGGCAACCCTGTAGGCCTGGTGATTTGACAAGGTCAATGAAATAGATAGTTACATAGATTGATCATCCATATTTTTCAAAATAGATAGACAGGGGCTGGAGCGGGACAAATTTTAGGGTGCTTTTAAATGACATTTAATCGTGTTAAACTGTCACTAATCGGACTAAACCGAATGCTAAAAGGGTCGTTTGGAGTTAAAAGTGTTAAAGGAGTTAAATGAACTTGGCAAACCGAACGCAATGAGGGTTGCCATATCTAAACTGTCATTACCCACTGGTAGCCATTTGGACAGGTCGTTGGAATGCCTAATTCCGCACTGAAGTCTAGAATTTGACACAAATTTGAAGTTAAAAATAACGATCGTATTACTTGAAAATATACCTATTTTTTATTTTTAATCGATGTAAAAATTGGTAAATACATGATAAAAAGTAAAAGTTATTTCAATATGCTTATTCCCTGGTTCCAAATAATTAAATATAACCTTGCAACTATATGTTACGATTACAACTATCAGAACTAGCCGGAACAAGAATGGTCCAGACCCTACAATTATAAGATTACCATTATTTAATGTGCAGGGCAAATATTAAAAAAGACTACCTAAAAAATGCTGTTCCTGCTTTTATTACTTACGATGGGACTACTTCTCAAAGGAGACGAGAATGTGGAAAGTATTGCTGATACAGTTACCGAAGTTATCCACTGGGGGTGAAGTGTTAATCTTTTAGGAATATAGGAAATATTTTTTTATACCTAACAACTTAATATTTATTTATTGATAAGTTATAGATACTATGTATTTGAAATTCGAAGTAATCATTATGACAGCAGCGTTCTTATTGTATTCGGATTCTAACACAAATGAAACATCTCATTAAATTTTTATTTAAATTATTAATTTATTAATTTTACATTAGAAAGAAAATTAACAATACACACCAAATTATTTCAAATTAGAAATAAATACAATTTACACATTTCCCATTATTACACTTTTACTTTCTTAATTTATTCATTTCTTATATTAACAATTTAAATTAATAATATAGTTCATTATTTATTTGGAACTCATTTTATAATTTTACTAATTATTTTTTTATATTTATTTGTGGAAAATGATATATTAAATAAAAGCATAGGAATTGTTCTATTAGATAATAGCAGTAATGAAAAAATAAGTAGGAAAATTTCAAATGTATAGTTTCCAGATTTATTATGAGTTTTTTATAGTAATGTACTCAATAAGTAGGTTTATTATGTTCGCTTGTACACATCACAGCAGCAGACAGTAACAAACCTGACAACACTTCCGATTTCAGAAAAACAGTCTGTTTTACATTATATATTTCAATAATGTAATATATTAATCATTTATATTTAATTAATGACAAGGTTTACTTTTTAAATAAAACTATAGGAGCCCTGTCCCGTTTCAATTAGCACACTTCTCAAATTTATAGTGAACAAATCATACATAAATCTAATAAAATCTTTTATTTTTTTAACCCTTTCACTTCTACTTTCATTAAAAAAAATACCATTGTAGTAGATTGTATGTTTTCTTTGTTTATTTTAAGTAAATTAAAATATTTTCATAGTATTTTTTATTACTCCAAAACATAACGTCCCTGTCAAAAACAAAAATTTACTATGAAAATAATTTTTTTATAACATAAATTCTTAAAAGTAATGCAAATAAAGTAAATAAACCAAAAAGAAAAAATTTCTACCAAAATTAACAGAAGTATACTTCAGTGTTAATTAAGACAGTATCCCTCTGGAGGGACAAATACACTGAAAGGGTTAAATATTTACAAATTTGTGTTTCATCACCTTTAACTTTGATAACGGCAATAATTCATTAAAACATTGTACCTATTTACAAGTTCTTGAAAATCTTGTGCAGGGAACCTACTCCATATTTCTAGATTACCCCATTTGCTTTAATTCTGGCAGTGATCTTGTGGGTGCTGCACGCCTCTGCTTAAAAATTATCACCCCATATACAAAAAAGCATCTTTATTAAATGAACAAGAAACTAAAAAAAAATAAGCATTATTAAAAACTACAAAAAGTGCATCATTTGAAAATCCATATTCAAGCTCCAGATTTGTAAAATTAAAAAAATTCCAAATACACATTTAACTTGTTCGATTATTTATTGAATAAAAGGTCTGTTCCTGGGTAGTACACTATTTTGCAGTCTCAATAAACTACTGTGCAGAATCCTGATGTCAATAACTCATTTCTGAGCATTGTTGGAACAAACCTAAAGTAAATCGAAGCCACTTAAAAACAAGCACAACATTTATACTCCAGCATAATTTTTAATTCCTATCAAAATTTTTAATTACTGAATATTTTGTTCTAGTTATATTAAAATTAAAAAGTTCTTACTCATTATAATTATATTTTTTATTTTCCCTATATACCTACATACTATCTAACATTTTATAAATTTGATGCCTAATTAAAGATTTCATCTAGCATTGCAGAACGTGAAACGTTTTTCACATTTGTGTAAATCTTCTACATCTGTCATATTAGGATAACAAGATTGTATCTAGACAGGCAGTTATTTTTTTGGAGTTGAAGTTTGTATAGCCAATAACTTGTTTGATTTTTGTGTTTCTAACTCTAATTTAAGAGAAATCCTATGTGATATAAAATGCAGAAGAAACTAAGCGACCTACATTTTTTAGAATATTTGATAAAGCATAGTAGTAACTGCCAGTTAAAACTTTGTTTCTAGTATTTAGTTTAGGTACCAGAGACAATGCTTGGAACAGAAAATACATACTTTTGTTAATTCAGAATTTTTAAATGTTTTATATTATAAATCTTTCTAGGTATCCTATATCTATATATATAACCATGTGAATAACTTTAGTGCTTCGATAACACAACATTGATAATTAACAGATGAACATATTGGTCACAAAAACAAATTAATTAATATATTCTACCAATCTCATTTTTTCCAAAAAGTACAGTTACAACCTTGTTATTCTTTGAGATGTATTTATTACTGATACTTATTAATAAAAACAATAATAATTGATATAGGTACTTACTGATCTTTGGAAACATATATACTCCTGGCCAGTGAGACCTCATTATTCTGGTATAATGCTATTTCACAGAAATGTTTGTAATTCCAATCACTGTGTATGGATTTGATTATAGTAGGTAATAAACTAAATGTTTATTGAATATCTTTAATCTGGGCAATTAAAATCACAAAACTCACTTTAAAAATAATAAGCTTCAATCTGAGTACTATAGTTAAGGTCCACTTCTTCATTTTATAATCAGTAACCCACTGTATTGCTGTTTTTGCCAAAGCCAAAGGTAATATTTGATCACAAAACAAAATCAGATGTTTTTTATAAACACCCCCATTTCACTTATTTAGTAGCAAGTCTCTGGCAGCAACTTGTAACTTAATTGGAGCATATTTATTAAATCTTGAACACTTTTTTTGATCGTATAAACGCACACACCGGTGTAGCTTGTTTAAAAAAAAACACTTATAATCAACCATCAATAACAATAAACTTATTTGTTGACCATTAATTTTTTCATCTGTACTTCTGATAGTTTTGTTATTTTTCATTTCATATAAACTCGAATTTTCACCATAGAAGAACTATTTTTATGATTGCACTTTTTCTGACAGATAAAAAGATTGCCGCAATTTTCCGCCGTAACGACACTAGCGAACCTAGCGGATTTTTGCCCTAAGTACGACCGGTTTTGGTATGCTTTTTTCAGGGAGTTGAAACACCTTTATAGTACGCCGTGGCTTCTACTCAACTTACCTTGATAGCAACTACTTGAAAGAAATATTAAAGTAAAAATTATTTATGTATTTCAGGCCTGATGGTGGCCCTGTGAGGCCGAAATTAGTCATACCTCTATTTAATAATGTATTAAATTTGATGTGAAACAGATTTTAAGTTTTCATTCTTAATTTAGTTATTTTATTCCTGTATTGCTACTTTTTGAACGGAATGTGGTACCCATGGTAATGTCAGTTATTTCTATTTTTATCATTTGATTTCCGGTGAGATAATTTGCTAGGTCTTGGCTTTTAGACTGTGTGGCATTAGTTTTGCCTGTTTAAAATTTATGAAGTTGTAGGTGTGATTGAAAAGGGTATAATTCAAAAATAAAGAAGAATAACATAGTTGTTTTAAGAACATGTTTATTTTAAGTCAGCTTCTGGAATGATATGTTTGATGAAGGCATTTTTTTTTAATACATAAAGCTCCAAAATAAACAAGTGATTATCATTTATTTATCTATTTACAAAAATCATTATTAACAGTTAGATATAAATCAACAAATGTCTATACTAAAAATAACCTTAAAAAAATAAATTTCATCAATTTCTTTTTACAAAAATATGTTTACTTCACGCATCATTCACTTCTTTCACGTCATACATAAATCATTTAAAATAATTTTAAAAACCAAAAATAAAATTAATAAAACGTTGTAAACAAAGTTACAATAATTTAGTTCAAATAAATTTATTAGACTGTTTGTGCTTAAATATTTTTCTAAACCAAGCATTTACTTACATTCTTGATTATTATATTCTTAGTTACATTTTTTATAAAATACTTCCATTTACTGTCTGCCATTGTCATACATTGACAACGTCAATGGCGAGAAGCATCCATTTGGATGCGCTGTTGATAACTGGCACCCTTTTACATTATAACCGCATGCCAAATATGAAAGAATAAGTACTGGTAAAGTCGGTATATATGGAATAGTCGGGTAATATGGAATTTTCAATATTTTTGAATTTTTAAATCGGGCTGCTCCATCTCTTAAAGGATAGAGGTATTAGAACGCCCTTTAGAATTGTAGGCTTCTGCCATAAAATAAAATTGCCATTATATGCCAATATAGTCGCAAAATGTGAAATTATGATTTGTGATTTTGTGAAAATTAATTAATTTAAAGGCATGGTGAGATGGGTTAGGCATAAGATAGTGGAAATCTTCACCATTTAATTTATTACTTTTCATAATATCTAATAGAGCACTAGTTTTGAGTACATTTCGTGGAGCGGGTAATACGGAATATTCCATATTTCTTGCAATATTGCTCTCATATAAGTCACTGAGTGTAATGTTATTGAAATTTTTACTGTACAGAAATTATGGCTACTCCTTTGCCGAGAAAACAAAAACAATGGGGCTGCGAATGATAAAATATTAAAGTATTTTGCATCTATTAGTCAATTCCATATTACCATATATGACTATTCCATATAACCCTCCATTTTTCATTTTCAAAAACAATACCTTTTTTTTAATATAATTGTTTAATTGCCGTATACGATTTTATTTTCAATTTAGTATCTATCACTTTTTGAAGATACTTAGAACTATTAAATAATGAAATATTGCGGCTCCTAACACTTTAGTCTCTACGTTATCACTTTATGAGTAATCAATATTCCATATATGCCGACTTTACTCTATATATTTTAGGTCATTATTATGTACATTTTTAATATTATTTTCTACGAGTTTTTCTGCCGAAACGGGATCTCTGGTTTCACGTTATTACAATGTTTGATGTTTTTTTAGCCATATACGTCTGTCATATTGGTAACGCTTTACTAAAATGACATCAAAATTTGTTCTAACGTATTTTTTTAACCACACTTATGAATAGTTTTATTTTTATTAGGATATTTTGCTCCAATATTTATAGATTAAAAATAATTAAAACAAGTGCACTGCAAAACAACAATTTCATACATAGATCTTTTACATTTTCTATAGACTAGAATAAATATAGGTAATATAAATACGACCAAGTTTTGGCTTGAGAGTCTGATATATCATACCATATTTCAAACAAAAATATCCAACAATGACAATAATTTTGTTAATGTCATATAAAACAATCATTCAGAACATAAAATAAAATTAATAAATTAAGTGACAAGTTTTTTGAAAAGTTGAGCATTGAAGGTGGATGCGTTTCAAATATTTTAGCTCCTTACTAACAATATTGGTTATCCTTATCAGAAAGTTCTACATTTCTCTTAGGATACTGTCAAATTATTCTCAATTCATAAAAAGTCCAAATAAGGTTAAAAAATTAGGAAGTAGTAGAATTTTAGGACTAACGAGATTATTAGATAAAGAAAAAAGCAAATAAAATTATTAATTTCATCCCAAATGAGTTGTTAGATAAAACATCTGGTTTCAACAAGACTGTTCTGCCTAATATATTGCAAATCATAGAAAAAATAACAAAAGGTATTCTGTGGTCGTGTTCACCGTCGTCAAACGTGTTGTCGGTCTTTAACTTTATTTATTTAATTAATTATTTTATTATCCTGATTTTAAGTAAAAAAAAATGGATATTCGTTGTGAAAACATATAGTATCCCTATATGTTTTTATAATTGTTAATTATCTGCCTATAATTAATGGAAATCAAATTGAATTTAAAATTTGAGGTCATGAAAAGAAGGCGCCAGCTAAACCGGTTTTGAAATAAAATACGTTTCAGAACAAGGCAATTTTTTGAATATACAACAATGATTAAATGAAGTTCCTAGTATGCTATCACATTATTTTGTTTTTGCATACCTACTACAAATGTCACAGCACTACGTTTCCAAAGATTATCACTGAATTAATCTATCTTGCTTATTAGTTTATCTATATTGAAAACAGACCAATCTTCCTACTGAAAACAAATTGAAAACCCTTCATCATTTAACATAAACCAAGGGTGTGTTAACTGATCCCCAAGATCACGTGATTTAAAACACTTAGATAACTTTTTTGGAGTTACGTTGCTGCATAAGAGACTGTCATAAAATTTAGTTAATACGCGAATAACTAAAATTTTTGAAACGGACTACAAAATATTTAAAATAAATTAGTATTGAAATCACAGCTGCGAACTTAGACTTAGAATATTTTACACTTGTGTTGATACAACAGACCCAACATAGATTTAATATTCTAATGAGAAAAATCTACACTGATTTTCCTTAAGTAACCAAATTTTTCATGATTTACATTCAAGCTCCTTGCGGTCTACTAGCAAACAACTGATCTACCACGGAACTATCTGCTAGAGTACTAATGTCACCAACATCTCTATCATTAACTGCTATTTTCCTTAATATCCTTCTCATAATTTTTCCGGATCTAGTTTTTGGTAAGGCTGGGGCATTTTGGATGACATCGGGCTGGGCGAAAGGACCTATCTTCTCCCTAACAGCTTGCTTCAGTTGTTTAATCAGTATTTCGTCGAATACACCGTTTTCTGTTGTTGTCACAAAACAATAAAGGCATTCTCCTTTGACAGGATGCGGTTTGGACACCACCGCGGCTTCCGACACTGCAGGATTCTCGGTTAGGATGGCCTCTACTTCTGCTGTGGACATAAGGTGACCGGATACGTTTAACATGTCATCTACGCGACCAGTTACCCACAAGTATCCGTCAGCGTCACGTCTAGCTCCTGAAACAAAAATTTAATTTCCAATTTTAGTTGTTAAAATATTTTGGTCTGTTTTTTTCTTTTTAATTTTTTTATTTTAATGTTTTGTTTTTATTTTTCGTTATGTTTTTGTTTTTTTTTGTTTATTGTTTTTTTTTTTTTTTTTTTGGTTTTTTAATTTTTTGTTTTTTGTTTTTTTCTCAAAATTGGCAGAAGGAATGATTATCAGAAAGCATTAAATTCCCATGGACAATTTATTATATTTCAGCCTCGTCTCATAAATATTATTCGTGTAGGCTCTCGTAGAGTACACCGAACACACACACAGCAAGTAAGCAAAACATTCCTCCTCGTCCTCTTAACGGTATTTGTCCATCATAGTCACAATCAGATGATTCTTTTAGTGTGCCCCGAATAGTCCACATGGTTTATTTACAGTTATAACCCCCGCATAACACATTAGTATAATTAACGTATTTTATACGTAATTCTCATTTAAATTTATTGGTTGATTCTGTATACGTTAACAGTTTATTATTATTATTATTATTATTATTATTACACATACCGTTTTCCAAATGATCTATTATACGTTTTTTTATACGTCCTATGGTATATAATTGTAAATTAGTCTACGTTTAAATACAGTTAACAATATACGACTATTTTTAGTTTGCGATAAACGATGTATAGACAGTATCGTAAATAAACATTTAGGATTATTTAAATTAAATTCGTATAAATTTATGTAATATTATAATATGTAGTTTTCGCTATAAACCAAGATAAAATTGGTTACTTTTTTAACTGTTTAACATCTATTATTTTATTACTTTCCGTTTTTTAACGGATAAATCAAACGTTTTCTTTTTGTTGTAGATACTAGTTATTGTATATTACTTAATTAATTTACCTTACACGCATATTTCCAGTTGGCGATAAACTAGTTGACAGAAGTAAATAATATGCATACATTTAGGTTTATTTATACCAAAAGCATATTGGTATATTTAGTTATATTATATCCATATTTTTTTATTTAATCACCTGTAACATTTATAAAAAATTCCCCATATACGGAACTAAACTGCTGGCCATTCGAACTTACACATAGAAATTTTTAGGCAAAATCAATATTAAAAGCTAGTTTTTTTCTGATTAAGCTGCGTGACGTATATTTATCGTAGGACCATAGGTTTGTTATATACGGGGTGATCAATGAAGCCATAAAAAAAATCAAATAGTTTGTATGAGTGAAATTTCCGCAAAAATTTTTTTTGGTCGTTGCAATATGATTCGCTACTAAGGTAACATCAATATCTCTAGATATTTTTGTCAGTTTTTGGATTAAGGCCCTTAGGTCTTGTACACACTACTAAACAAAATTTGGGAAGCAACATTTTTAAAATGCTATAACTTGACATTGGATTGGCGGTTCTTGATGATTTTTGCGGATTTATAATCCTTATTTCACGTAGATTTTCTATAGTCTGAGCATTTTACTTGAGGGTTGAAATTTACACATATCGAGTCAGTCACCCCGTATATATTAAACCTATGGTCCTATGACAGTATTTAAAGCTAGAAGAAAACTGTAACAACCGAGGTAAATGAGTTTTGGAATTATGTGAAGTGTAAGAGAAAAAATAATGATCTGAATTTAGGAAACTACATTTATAAAGAAGCTACAGTGGCTTATAATAAATCAGCAGAAATATTTTCAAATTTCTTTTCAACGGTTTATGCCTCAACAAAAGCATCGTACACTCTAGATTTCGCAAATTTCAGTAATATATGTAAAGACACTTTTTTTTTTAAATAACCGAATTGGAATATAACCTGCGATAAAAAAGCTTAAAGCAAAAAAAGCTGCAGGTGTCGACGGAATGCCTCCCTTTATTCTCAAAGGTTATTATGAATGGTTGAAACAACCTCTTTTACATATTTTTAACCTAGCTTTATCAACCAAGGTTTTCTCATCAATATGGAAAATTGCTATAACTACACCCATTCATAAAACGGGGAATAAAATGGACATAGAAAACTATAGTCCCATTTCAATTATGTGTGCTCCAGCTAAGTTATTAGAACAAATTATATATACAATGCTCTATAGACATGTTGAAAAATATTTATCTACCCAGCAGCATGGATTCGTTACAAATAAAAATGTTAATACCAATTTGTTTATTTTTGCTAATAAAGCCTACGAAACATTAGAACGAAGAAGTCAGTTAGATACTGTATATACAGATTTTCAAAAAGCGTTCGATAAGGTAAATCATGATGTACTACTTCAAAAATTAAATACATTCGGCTTAACTACAAATTTCCTTTGTTTAATTAAAAGTTACTTATAAAACAGATTATTCATAGTAAAACATAATGGAAATATATCTGGTAAGTTTTCTGCTAATTAGGGTGTTCCACAGGGTTCTAACCTAGGTCCACTCGTTTTTGTTATTTTTTAACGATTTACCATCTGTAATTAACTATTCTGATTGTTTACTCTTTGCAGATGATTTTAAAGTTTTCAAAACTGTACAGACAGTAAGGGATTATGTCAAGTTACAGAAAGACATAAATAGTATTCACGAATGGAGTCTTAGTAATAAGTTGTATTTTAATATAAAAAAATGTTGCGTTATGACAATAACACGCAAAAAGAACCAATCACTTTTGACTATATAATGGATGGAAGTAAACTTGTGCGTTATTCAGAGGTTAAAGAACTCGGTGTCACTTATAACAATCATTTTTCGTTTTCAACTCATATTAGAAATATAGTAAAATCTGCTAACCGCATGTTAGGGTATGTAATAAGGCAAACTGCTACTTTTACCAATACGAACATTATTATATTATAGTTTAATTAGGACCAAGTTGGAATACGCTTCTCTAATTTGGTATGGAGAGTATCAATATTCAATGAAAGAAGTTGAAAAGGTCCAAAACAAACTACTTAGATATTTGTACTACAAAACACACCATGATAGACCAGATTATAATATAATAAGGTCAACTCAGTTGAGAAGAGAGTTTAAAATTATATCGTTGGACAGCAGGCGTTGCCTAAACTCGATGATGTTTCTCTATAATACGCTTAATAATAATATAAATGCACCTGATATATTATCCTTAATACAATTTAACGTTCCACCTCGTAGAATGCGATCATCAGCTATGTTTAATATTCCCTTTACTACAACCAGAGCTCCTCTCGTAGCTATGTTGAGACTAGCCAACCAGTTCAATGTGTGTATGGATTTGGACTGGACAGTGACTAAGAGAATTTTCCGTCGAATAATTCTAGATCACATAGTAAACATCTCTGTATAGGAATAGTTATTTTATTAAAGTTGATTTATTAGAATTAATTTATTAAAATTAATTTATTAAAAGTCATTTATTAAAATTAATTTATTACAGTGTTTTAAACTTTGGTCCCCTACAATTTTATAAAACTTACATATATTTCAATGTTTTTTGTCTATGTTTGGTATTTTCTCTCATCAGTGAGAGCTTAATAATGATACATTTGTCATTTAAATTTTATTTTTATCCATGTAATTAAACCTTTTTGGTTTGTATGGAAAAAAGATCAATAAATAAATAAATAAATAAATAAATGATAAATATACGTCATGCAGCTTAATCCGAAAAAAAACTAGCTCTTAAAATTTGCAAGCGGCGTTCAAAAATTTGCATTTCTGTTGAAAATATGAAACTTTAAATTTTGCCTAAAAATCTGTATGTGTAATTTCGAGTGGTCAGCAGTTTAGTTGATAAGTCGGATGGAACATGGCTACGATCTTTTCTCATTTCTACTCTTGTGTATGCCTGTATTATGTAGTGAAGTTATCTGTGGTATTATTATGTACGTCGTTCATCTATACCTCAATAATACTTATTTGTGTGATTAGAGGCATAGGTACGTTTACATTAATGTTTTATTTTAGCTATTCCTTCAATAATTCAACAACTACTATTTTATAGGTAGGTAGAGCGTGTAAGATGATTACAGAAATTCTAAAACATAACCTAACTTTCTAATTCTTAGTTCTCTTATTTTTATAAGTATTTTTTGGGCTATCCAGTTATTTCTAACACATTTATTTCCCATATTTTATTCAATTGATTTTTATTTCATAAAATGTCGGCTGTGGTTATAATAATTTCGTTTTGCAAAAAATGCGCTTGACCTGAGGAACCAAGTTTGCATTAAGTTTAACTGGGCGGGCAGTGAGTGATAAACAACCAATAAAAAAAAGTTAACGTTATTTTTGGTAAGTTTCTCTTAACAGTGTAATGACCTTTATAATAAAAATGGTTCTATTATAGAATCCATAAGGCATGCCTACATGGTAGTGTACCTACCAAGTGATTTGACAGACCAAACCATTTAATATAGCTATGGCACGTTTGGGACAATACATCAAAGTGATGAAAAGATTCTGATTTTGATATATATAGTTTTTAAAAATAAATTTTATTGGTTTTAAATAAATATTTCATCGCTTCCTGTTTATTTTTATAATTGGCAAAAATATCCAGTTTAGTAGCTTTTATACTAGAAACGTTAAATGACGTCATTTTGACGAAATACAACGTCCTCTATTGACGAAATAATTACATCATTTCACCGTCAAATAACGTCGTTTTATGTCATTCTGTTCTAACAAAAAAACAGTCATTTGCTGACGTCATTTTGGGGTCACTTATCGACGTCACTTTAGTCAACTTATGACCAAAATTCATGTTATTTTGACGTAATCTGGTTATTAAGGTATGCTGTCATATTAACAGAATTGACAAAAAATTAACATTATAGATCATCTACTTTATGCTATATCTCCAATGCAAGAATATTAGGAAAAATAATTTTATATTTTTAAATTATGACACTAGTGAATATATCATGAAAGGTTACAGTTTAAACTAGTTTATTATTTGTAATTTGTTTACTATTATTATTTTAATTATATTTATTAATTAGTTATTTTCATTTTAGGAGTTGTCGA